TAATAATATATATATATATATATATATATATATATATATATATATAGTGCATATGTAAATCACGTAAGGCGAGTATAACAGAGAGGTGGTTGCAGAATATTCCGGATTACTTACCTTATTCACTATCCTAAATATCACTGATGTATACATTAAACACAACTCATCATGATTAGAACAAGTTGAAATTTTATCTTCAGTTTCTTGGGTGTTTTTTGGAAGTGTGCTCGAATCGGCGAGCGTTTAAGTCCGTGGATAGCGCTTGCTTGTTTCTCGATGGCATTTGTTGTTCTTTTCCTCTGATCATTTGTCAATTTGCAAGGATGACACATATTGATGAGGTACGATGAATTTATAATTGTTTACTCTTTAATAAATTTTGTTCTTAATTTTTCTGATACTTATTTCGATTGATCTTTAACGAACACTCAACTTTTATTTTTCACAGTGTAAAGTTTGCATTTTGTCTATGTTCATTTAATCCGAAGTGTAATTATCCGATAAATCAAGTGGAGCGATTTGCTAACTTAACTTTGTTTGGCGTGTAGACTGTTGTAAAAAATTTTGTTACATGTTGTTCAGAGAATCGTAGTAACTTCAGCTCGTCCATCCGAAAGGTATACAAAAGATTTTTTCTATTAATCAGAAAAAAAAACCACCATTGTTCTATATTACTACGCATGATTTGTCTTACTTTATTACTACTTTAATCATTATTGCTTTGCTGTTAATAATTCTGTGTTATTATGATTTCGTAGGTGAATCGGAAATGCAAACCATTGTTCCACATTAAAGAGATTTGATATATATTCTTAGGTACTGAGATGTTTTTATTTAACTCGACGAATTGCTTGTGTTATTCAAAAGGTGCTTTAAGCAATGTGGATCCTGGACATATATATATTTATGGAATAGCTGGTCAGAAAAAATGATAGCGTAATTTCGATTGGGGTTTACTTTCAGGTAGAATATGAACTACGGAAGAATCTTCCACCACAATTTCCAAAAGCAAAGAATGACATTTATATAACAAGGTTGGTTGACCTGTCTTTGTTTTTTTGAATTTAGCTATTTTTCTCTTTGCATCTTTGCTGATCCACTAATTATTTGGAAAATTTCCATTCGTAAACCGTTCGCATGCATTATAACTCTGTCGTCTTTTATTGAACTGGTTGACACATAATTTCACAGAGTTTGGCTCAAAGGCACCGTCCATGCTTCTTTAGGTAGCATGTGTTCTTGCAGGCATAAAGCTTTAGCAAGGAAGAATGGTGCAGTGATTCGTTTATGCTGGGAACAGTGAATTGGGATTGTATAAATGACCATAAATGTAGGGGGATAATTTCATATCCTGAAATATCATATTTACAAACAGAAGACATAGGCTGGGAAAGATTTTGCTTTTTTGCAGTTCTGCTTTTGTTTTCCTTTTTTTTGCTTTTTTTGCATTTTGTTTTTTTTACATTTTGCTTTTTTTTGCTTACTTGCAGGCACACAAGTATTGCAGCACAAAAGGCTCGCATAATCAGACTTCTGGACGAGAAGATGGATGAAGTTATACTGCACGGGTTGGGGGCAGCCGTTAGCCGGACGATAAATGTTGCACTACAAATCCAGCGAAAGTTAGTTGATACGGTGAAATTAGATGTCAAAACTGGTACCGTTAAGGTAAGATATTTTTTACACGAATAGTATGTCTTGCGAAGAGACGTGTAATTGAAAAGTATGATTGCCGGTGAAGGGTTTAGGTTAGATCTGTAAAACAAGATTCTTTATTCTGGAGAGTTTTTTTTTTTTTTGCAAGTTTTGTTTTTTTTTTTTGTGATAGAGGTTTCTGAGAAATAGTGGTCCAAGTTTATAATGTTGACTAATTTTCTAAAAACAAATGAAGTGACTATTAAAAAACATGATTTAAAACCAAAGAAAAAAAGGAATTCCTAGCCATAATGATGCGGGAATTAAGGCTCTCTGGTTTTAAAACTAGGGAGGTTGATTAAAAACGGCCAGCACCCTAAACCTATTCGAAATGTTAAAGAGTAACTATGTTCGGTGTATTTCTACTGCGTCATTTGAAAAGGATCATCAGTTGAGTTTATGGGTTACCGATAGAGGATCTTATGAAGAACCGAAGAGCAGTTTACTGAAATTGTTCATCTATATCTCGTTTCTCATCGGTCATTAACTGGAGTGATGTTGAGATACTTCAAGTCATTTTTCATTTTAGGTTACAGACAGTTTGTTCCCGTTATACGACGAAGTGGATTTTAAAACACGAAATCGCTTAATTTCAGCTATACATATACGCATATCTCGACGAATAATGTGAACAGTTCCTTTTTATTGTTAATTTAGATTGTTATGATGTTTGAGATAACTTCTTATTCATGGTAGAACTTTCATACTTTCTTCTTAGCCTTTTTCACGACATCTTTTTCTGTTTATATCATTCTAAAGTTAACAGTACGCTTTTTTCTTCCTCTTTGTCTCTTTCATATGTTTTGAATAAATTTTTATTTTCAACTTTCGTTATCAATAAAACGTGAAATGAATCGTATGGTATGTTTTACACAGCATTCTGTATTACGAGAAAAGACAGACTAAGTTTTTTCATCTCAATTCCGTCAATTGTGAACATATAGTATACAGTAGAAGTGGTTACGTTCGATATTATATAAGATGAATTAGACCTACCCCACTTTCTGCTAAACATAAATATCCTATTTGTATGGATTGTAAATTCTACAGATAATCGAAATACACAGTTTTAAGGATTGATCCTTAGTGTTTTAAAGCCTGTTTTTGATTTTTTTTTCCCACGTATCTTCCATATATGACATTAATGTTTGCATGTAAATCCAGTGAATTAATGATGTAAAACCATCAAACTGAAAGGTTTTTTCCTGCAACAGGATTGATGAACTGATCTTGATTGTTTGATGAGTTTTGCTGGTAAAATATTTCGAGAAGTTACCGCCATCAGGTTGTGTACCTCAGTACCTATATCATGGGTTACACGCAGTCTTGCAACATTTTCAAGACTACCACATGTTGCCGTTGTTGGCGCTGGACCAGCTGGTAAGTTTGTCATTTTCATCAAATTTTTCGCATCTTATCAATCAAATTATTAGTTGACAAACGAAAAGTCTTGTAGGCGATACATTCTCTTTAAAGAAATCTGCTTAGTGTTATTCAACATGTGGTTATTAAAGATGAATATAAAACTAACGATTGTTCATTTTGGATTTGGCTAAGAAATGAACAACAACTGGACAAATAAATAATAGGTATAAGACAGGGAATGAGGAATCTTTTGGTTCTTTTAATCAATATAATTTAAAACATTTATACGCAATAATTCTCCAATATTTTTGACATTTAATTGAATAAGTGATTGATTATTAAAAAAGAAAAAAAAAAGAATTCAAATGGCTTGTGTAAAGATAGTAAGTTCTTTTATTTTTCTTTGAAATTTTAGGTCTATATGTTTGTGCTGGAATACTTCGCCGATTACCGGAATGTTATGTGGATGTTTACGAAAGCAACATGGTACCATATGGTTTAGCCCGGTATGGAATAGCGCCAGATCATCCTGAAATGAAGAACTGTCTATCACATTTTGACAGATTGTTTGTCGAAAATCCAGATAGGTGAGGGAAATCACGAAATACATGAAATGAAATTCAAACTCTGATCATTTTACTTTCCTATACTTAAATATCAAGTATTGGCCAGCATATAATTAACTAGTTTCTCGTGTCACTCAAATTTTGTCTAGTCCAACTTCAGTTATTTATCCGTCTTTGTCAATTGAAATCTTTTTGATCTTTTCGATTCCCTCCTACTCATTTTGCTGACG